GAGGGAGCTCCCGCTTCTCGACCCCCTCAAGCGATTATTCACCTCTGCCCACACCTGGGGTCACAGGGTCCCTGAGCAGGGACTCATGGGGCAGGGGCGGCAGCAGCAGCTGCTGTGAAATGCTGGGCTTCCCCGGTGCTTGGGGAGAAGCCGTAGAGCTTCCCTCTCAGCACTAGGAATTCCAGAAGCCTTTGGAGGATGAGGGAAAGGCCAAGGCCCTGGTGGGACAGCAGCTTCTAGAGATGGAAAAGGCAGAGGGCACCGCCGAGCGTCAGTCAGCCAGGGCACAGCCTGCTCGGGGGCCCTGCTCCCTTTGTGTTCAATGTCAGGGCGAGGGCAGCACCAGGCACCACAAGTCAGTCCTGCACCCTGGCTCCCGCCTCTAGATCTCTATCCCACCGTCATGATCCCCAGAAGGCAGCTCCCGGGGCTGCCTGCAGCTAAGGCACCACCGTCCCTCCCGAGAGCATGGTACTCACCCCACTGTTTCTGAGCACTGCCGTGCGCTGAGGTCCCCTAGCTCTGGACGACCCAGGCACCTGCAGACATCGCCTTCAAGGGTTCTGGTCCCCTCTGCTGGCCGCAAGGAATCACAACGCTGTTTACTTGAGGAAGGGAGTCCCTGGCCTCTGCGTTCTCATGCTAAGCGAAAGATTGGCAGTTCAAGATTGGCAGTTCAAGTCCACCCAGAAGCATCTCAAGAGAGGCCTGGTGATCTACTTCTGAAAAATCAGCCGTTCAAAGCCCTGTGCAGCACAGTTCTACTCCGACACACATGAGGTCTCCACGAGTCAGAACTGATTCAACAGCATCTGGTTTTACCTGAGGAAATGGGAAGGCAGGAGTTGCAACCAGGGCTCAGCGGTTGGAATGGGTAGCAGGGCCTCAAGGAACAAGCAGCTTTTGTCAGCACTGCTCAGAGAGGCCCCAGGCCCCTGCAGTCTTGGCTCCCACCTGCTGGTCTCGGAACAGCTTCCTCGCTCACCTTCTACTCCACAGGTCTCAGCCTTCTCTGGGCAGGGACCCTGTAGGAGTCTCCGGCAGCCTATGGACCCCTTCTCAGAAGTGCTTTTAATGCTTAAAGTGCATAGAATTACAAAGGAAACCAATTACATTAAAATATCATTGTCAAAATATTAAGCAATCAACCTGTGATCTAGTAACATGTGAGCTTCTTTATGAACGGATCCATAAGGACACCTAGTGGCGTATATAATAACAACCACAAATTACGAAGCAATGATGAGCAAAAACGATATTGCAGGCTATCTGCAACAGTTCGCAGCTTGCGGTTTCCGTTGGTGACAGTTGTAGGTAACGCTACTATGGTTTTGATTTTTGATTTTGGGGTTTGTTTTTTTTTTGCCCACCTTCACAATGGAGGGAAATGCTTAATTTTAATTAGAGGTTAGTGCAAACAATGATATATTTTTTTCTCATCATGGATTCTCATCATCATGGAGCTCATGGATGCCCTGAATCCTACTCACAGACCCCAGGCTAAAAGCCCCGCCTCCTCTTCCCAGCCTCTCTCTACCTCATAGCACCTGCTCGTCACAACCTTGTTACCTGCTCCTCTCCTGGGCCTCTCTGCCCCTCTGTACCAGGTACCTGGACCTCTCAGCACCACCCCTTCTCCCCAGCTTTCAGGGGCCTGAATCAGGCTCACACCTAGGGCACCACCTCCCCAGAAGAGAAAGAGGAGGCAGAAGGAGCAGCCAGTGAGGGAGGAGGAAGAGCCGCCCCCCACCCCAAACCTCAGAACAGCATTCCTGGAGGGCATACAAGGTCCAGTCCTGCCAAAACACCATGGCTCAGCAACAGCTTTCTGCCTTGAAGGGGAGTCTTGGGAATCACTGACAGAATATATGGAGAGGTGGAGACAAGTGCCCCAGAGGGACCTGGGGAGAGGAAGACCTCGGACTGGACAAAACAGATAGGAGTTCAGCTATGAAAAAGGTAGAGAGTGGGGGCAGCTGTGGGGTTGGTGGACACAGGACCTGGTGTGGGGGAGAGGGGCAGGAATCTCAGGGCAGAGCCCATAGAGGGCTGGAAGTGGGGAATCCGGAGCATAAGTGCAGGATGACTGCCACACACCCGAGGTCTGTGAAGGACTCAATCCTATGGCCTTTCAAGAGGACCCAGGTATGGCTCCCACCCTGCACCAACTTCCTTTCCCCAATATCCCCCTCCTAGGACAGCCCCCATAGAAGTTGGGAATCGTCTGAGGCCTTGCAGCCCCTTCCCAGGGTGAAGGGGGGCACACTGATCAGCCCTTTCCACAGTAGGGACAGGCCCATCCTGCTCCAAGCTCCCATGATCAGGGGAAGCTCAGCTGTAGCCACATTGTAGTCCTACTTCTTTCCAACCCCGCCCTTCCCACTTCCTCCCAGGTATGGGTCCCTAGAGCACCTGAGGAAACCTCACACCCAAGTTTCTGTCTCCAAGTGTGTTCCTGAGGCCCTGCTTGAGACGCAGCTTCAGTGCTTGCTTGTCAGTCCCAACAGGGTATGTGCGACTTGTGGACATGAAGGTACATCGGACCCACTAGTGTGTGGACTAAAAATTGCAAGTGGCTGTTAGAATCAGACACCCAAATGCAATGATTTCAACAAGTGAGGAGTTTGTTCTCTTCATGAAAAAAAGCTCAGAGGCAGGCAGTCCAGCACTGTTGTGACAAGCGACCGTGTGCCTTCTGTCTCTCTGCTCTGCCATCCTTCCTGTGTACCTCCAACTTCAATGTCAACTCTTAGTGCCAAAATGGCTGCTGAAGCTCCTGTCATCACATCTCTGTCCTAGGCAGGAAGCACAATCAAGTCAGGTGTGAAGGAGCACCTTCTCTCCTTGTCAAGTCATTCCCTTCACAGAGCTTCCCAGATGGCCCTCCCAATGACACCTCCTCACATCTAGGGCTATCTTGACTGCAGGTGGGAATGACATCTTTGTAAATAACACCCAGATTGTTTCCTAAGAAAGAAGGGGTTGGGTACTAGATGGGCACTAGACATCTCTGCCCTGTCCCAGGGTGTGTTTTCCTCCAGCCAGTGTCAGCTGCTCAGGGAAACGTAAGTGGCAGGGATGGGATCCTGCCTAGCCTGGGGCTTGCCCAGGTGAGTTCACTGCAGGGAGAAGGTGGAGGGAAGGAGGAGGTTTTCTTTCCCCTCACCCCTTTCTACACCTCCCCTTATTTTCTTTTTGCCTTCACCTTCCCTCCCTTTCCTGTTTCACTCTGTCTTCCCTTTTCCTCCATCCCCTATCCCTCTCCTCAGCTGTCCCTGCACCCCTTATTTTTCTTTCATTTCTTTCTTCTTCCTTTACCCTCCACTTCCTAACTCCTTCCTTCTCTCACAGACCGCCCCTCCCCCAGTTTCCATCTGTTTCAGAGCTAGAACAGGGTGATTCCTGTGATTGGACCTTGCTTTATGAGGTGTCTTGGGGTTCCATGGCTGTCATGTCAACCAGGGAGGGTTCACTTTCCTGTTTGGCCTGGACTGATGAGGAAGGTTCTTACTCTACTCTGGCTGTCTGCACTTGTACAGGAAGGGTTATTTCCTGTTTTTACGTTGTGGACTTGTGTGGGAAGGGTCCCTCCCTCTCTGAACTTCTGGACTTGTGCAGGAAGTGTTACTCCCTACTCTGACTTTCTGACTTTCTGGACCTGTGCTGGCAGGGTCACTCCCTACTCTGATCTTCTGGAGGTGTATGGGAAGGATCACTCCCTGTTCTGACCTTCTGGACCTTCGTGGAAGGGTTATTCCCTGCTCTGACTGTCTGGACCTGTGCAAGAAGGGTCACTCCCAGCTCTGACCTTCCGGAACTCTTCAAAAAAGTGTCATTTCCAGCACTGATCTTCTGAACCTCTGCAGGAAAGGTCGCTCCACCTCTGGCCTCTGGACCTACACAGGAAGGGTCACTCTGTTCTCTGACCGTCTAGACCTGTGCAGGAAGGGTCACTCCATTTCTGACCTCTGGACCTGTGCAAAAAACATCTCTCTGTGCTCTGACTGTCTAGACCTGCACAGGAAAGTTCACTCCATCTCTGACCGTCTAGACTTGTGCGGGAAGGGTTACACCCTGCTCTGATCATCTGGACCAGTGTGGGAAGGGTCAGTGCCTGCTCTGGTTGTCTGGATCTGTCCGGAGGTGAGGCTGGCACGGCAGATTCTAGTAGTGAATGAGGCGGTGCTAAATTTCTTACTTCTGCCCTCTGTCCTGGCCCCTTTAATCTCTGGACTTCCTAAAGCCTGTCAGGACCAAACATGCACACAGGAAATAACAACTCAGAAGCCGTCGGGGTTCCTGTGGGATGGGGGTTGGGAACCTGTGGACCGCTGTGGGAGAGCTCATTAGGGTGGCATTAAGGGGAAGAAGCCTGAACTGTCCCCCAGGAAGCTTGGGCTGGGCTGGAAGGACAGAAGAGAGGGAGCACAGAGAAAGACAACTGCACCCAGGACTTCGGCCAGTACGAGCCAGGGGGTCCAGAGAGCTGGGAGCTTGATGAGTCCAAAATTCCAATGGTCAAGTCCCAGGTGGGGGTGGGCTCCTCACTGGTAAAGGCCGAGGTCTTCTAAGCAAAGCCTCCCACAGCCAACATTGTGAACAGATTTCTTAACATTTGTCGATTTGATAGGCAGCCAGTCCTATCTCATTGTTTCCTTAGTTTGCATTTATTTATGGGTGAGGGTACGTTTTTATATGCTTTTGATTGTTTAGATTATCCCTTTGGTGAATGGCCTATTCATAACCATTTGTTAATCTCCTTGATGATAGTGGGGATGCTGATCCAGCCAACCCCAAATCCATGTGTAGGACACACTAACTAGGGTGGGAGGGGCCCGGACTTGGTTAGGAGTATTGGGGGGAAGTGGCTCTGGTGAAAAGGGCAGAAACTCCATTGGGCCTACGGGTGGCAAGTGGAGACCCCTTAAGTGTGGTTCCTTGGGTGGAGATAATGTGGGGTGCTGGGCCTGCAGGTGAAACCCCATGTGGGTCTGGTGACTATGGACAGAGACCCCTGTGTGGGCAGTGGGTGGCTGCAGGTAAGACTCCATGGGGGACTGGGGTCTGAGGCTAAGATGTGGGGGTGGGGACCCAGCTCTGCAGGCAGACTCTCAGTGCTCTCCCTGTCCTGTCCTGCAGATGGACGTCTGTGGCCGGACCAGACGAGTCACCCCGATAGCTGGCTCTGGCATAGTGAAGCCCAGGTCTCCACCACCTCTGCCCAGAGTGAATGGCTGGTCCTGGCAGATCCACACCCCGCAGGTGGTAGTCTGGACCATGCTCCCGGCCTTGGCCTTCACCAGTTTTGTCATCTTCATCCCCCTGTTGGCCACAGCCTGAAGTTCGTTGCATACAGCGTATCCTTTTCACCAGTGAGGCTCCACCTGGGCACCAGTTTTCTAAATGTGGGGGAGGGGTGCTGAGGACGCCTCTAATCGAGGTGGCTCAAGGACCATGTCTTCCGGCCCTGAACTGTGTGTCCCTAGTCATCCCTCCTAGGCCAGACTACATCCCCAGGTGCTGCAGGGTCCTATAACATTCTGTGTGGGTGGAGTCAGCCTGCAGGTGTGATTCCACCTGGCCCCTGACCTCAATGCCCCAGTTGTCCCTTACCAGGGACAGCCCCATCAGTATTCCCTTCTATGTGCATCTCCTGGGTTGGGGTCATGGTAGAAATGAAACACTTTCATGTGAAGGGACTGCTCCTGATCTGCCCTCACCAGATCCCTGACTTGGGGTGACAGGAGAGGGAACATGTTTGTAGGTGAGGGGCAGGGGAGGGGACTGGGCTGAGGACAAGGAGCATGAGGAGAGGGAGGAGACAGCTACCTTTCTACAGTGGATGGAGCACTGAGGGCAAGTTTGTATTGTCCCACGAAGAATACACACAAATAGTAAGAAGAGAGTGAGTTTTACAAACTCTGAAGCCTTCACCCCATAAGCTGAGGTCCCACTAGCCCCACAGCCTCTACCACATGTCACACAGAATCCTTGTGGCCAGACGGGACATCTTTCCCATGCACTTCTCACATACAGAGTGCTTATATTGCTTCTGGTCACACTGGGAGGACCATATCTTGTCCGAGGACAACTGGAACCTGGCTAGACAGGAGGGTCTGTCCCAGAGGGGAGGGGAGGTCGCACTTCTCAAGTCTCTCAGGGACACCAGGGGACAGGCCTCCTCATACCCTCAGCAGTTCTTGGGTCTCAGTTGCAAGTTGCCGCAGTGTTGTCTGTGTGGGACACCCCCTCCCCAGGCTCTGCACTGAGAAGACCCCCTCCTCCTTCATAGTTAGGAACATATGTGGATAGATGATGAGATGGTTGGGGCCATTTTCCTCAGTGACCTGTGGGCTGGTGAGAGAGTGACATTCCTTCTGCCTCTGGCCCCACCTCAGTCCCCACCTCAGTCCCCACCTGCAGTGAGAACACCCCCTGCCCTGTGCTCACATTCCCTTCTGGCATCGCCCAGGGTCTGTGGGATTCATAACTCATAGGGCTCACTCCATTGTCACCAGCCTTTGACCCTTAACACAGCCCGCTGTCCCGCAGGATCCTCAAGAGCCATCCTGTGGTCCTTGGCCCAGGGCATCACTCTGAGCACTTACATGCTTCTTGGTCCACCTGCTACCTGTACCCCCGTGCACACCTGGAGTTGAGTTTCCTCAGGAGCCCAGGTCTGAGTCCTCTCCCTGCTGGAAGGAGCTCAGCACCAAGTCCTGAGTAGTTGGACTCCGGCTCAGTTCCCAACAGAATGACTCCCACCATCAATCTGAGACTCTGAGGCCCAGTGTCATCCCACTGTCCTCCTACCCCCATGATGTCCCCCAGCCCCAGAACCCAGAAGCCCCTCACACTGTGCTCTTGACACTGGGGGACACCAGCATCCATCTTGGGGTAGGAAAGGTGACACCCAGACCCACAGCCCAGCCCTGCCCCGAGGTCGGGTCAGGTCAGGCTCAAGGTGCAGCCCTGTACTGAACAGACTTCAGAAAGACCTCGCCTGCATTCTCCAGGGCTGGTGGAAACAGGAACACAAGCAGACAGACTGTCACAGACCCCGCTCCATGGTGACACTCAGCAGAAGTACGTGCCATCTCTCTGTGCCTTGGTGGGAGTCTTCAGGATCTCCTCATGGCCACAGGTGTGACCTTCAGGTGTGGGTTCAGCTAGGAAACTTGGCCGTGGGCAGTTCTGCAGGGTTTGCTCGTCAGGCCCAGTCTAGAAAGGACCCAGACTTTGTTGAGGGACCTCCCCTGAGCCCAGCACTGAGGTCCTATGGCCTCTGATGCAGCCTCATAGGTCTCTAGAGCGAGGGGTGGGGCAGCCAGTCTCCTTGTGGTCCCAGGGAGCAGAGTGTGGAAGCCCTGAAATCTAAGAGAAGATGGTATTGCTACAGGTCCTAGAGGCAAAGGGCACAGGCAGCTTCCCAGCATTGGCCTTCAGCTGCCCCGAGGGGAGGACCCCTGACCCCCTAGACACCCTGCCCTGCTCCATCCATCTACCCAGCTTGGCCACCCCTTCCTCCCCAGTAACCCCACTTCCTCCCCCGATCCACCCTGTCCCCATTCTGCCCCACCATCTCATGCAAGTAGTCACTGATGCCCCTGTTCAGCCAACCCTCTCCCCACCCAGCTCCACTGCAGAAGAAGCCACACTGGGGCCCAAAGTGCACTTCCTGCCCACCCAGTCCACCCAGTACTACTGTCCTGGGCTGTCACCCATTGTCCTGCCACTCTGGACATGCTCTCACTGTCCTGTGACCATACACACAGTTGATCTGCAGGGAGACCAGGGACGAGGGTGTAGGTTCCATCTTGGTCCACGTGACTGCCTGGAGCCATTCTGTATGAGCAGTAGAAGGGCCTGCACTGACCCCCAACCCAGGGCAACCAGGCCCTGGAGGTCCAAGGACAAAGTCACAGGAGACACCGGGTTCCTGTCAAAGCCCCCCTCCTGGAAGAGAGCTCTGTGAGGAGTACCCACATCACAGCTCGTCACTCTGCCCTAGACTGACCCTGGTGGAAAGCTGTTGCCAGCCTTCCCCCTAAGGACAGCAGAGGAAGAGGCGATGTGTGCAGGCCTGGGGTGGTGGGTTCTGGGGTCTGATTGGGATCAAGGAAAGGTGGTACAGAAAGATCAGGAGTGCCTCTGGTCAGCATGTTCCTGCCAAGAGGGTTACCCAAGAACACTTGAAGGAGTTTCCCAGGGAGGAAGCTCCCCAGGGAAATGACCTCTCATCCAGACTCATAGAAACACATGAAATGGTCAGTTCTGGGAGACCCAGGACCACCACTAACCGTGTCAATCCATTTCCAGCCTTGTTCACACTGGGAAAACCCATGCAAGTGTCCCCAGGTCCTAAAGCTTGTTGTCCTAGATAACCTCATTGTGTTGAGTGTTTCAGTCATTTATTCATTCATTCAAACAAGCATGTATACATTCATTTCTTCTTCTTGAAATAATTTTTTCTTCAATCCATCCCTGCATGAGGCCCCCTCTGTGGAAAGACACTTCACTCTAACAAAGTGGGATGACACAGACATACCTTTGGGTCTCTGTGGCCTGTCCCTGGTGTTACTAATGCAGGTGGAGTCTAGACCTTCATCTGAACAGCCTGTCACTGTCCCTGGTTGGTCATTTCAGTTTAGAGCACCTTTGCTCAACAGACTGCTCTGTCTTGCATCCTAGAAGAAATCGCCTTCCGGAGAGGTAGGAGTGGAGGTCGAGGCTTTTAATTTCTGTACAAACCTTGAGGACAGAGCCTGTGTCTGGGTGGACAGTGTGCCACTCCAAGCCAAGTGGGGATTCAGCAGGTTGGGGAATCTTGAGCACAGGAAGGGGAAAGGAGGGCCATCACTAGACCCAGACATCACTGAGGTGCTCATACTGGGCTGAGCATGGAAGGAGCTCCAATCTGCAGCCTGGACAGACAGACAGGCCCCAGCACTGCCTGCCGCCTCAGACTTGGCCCCTAACTTCCAGCCAGATCACAGCCAGAGGCCAAGTTTCCCTGATGCACCTGCAGGTGGCCAGCGGGCTCCTCCTATTCCATCTAGTAGTTCTTGTCGCTGCTATTACCATCGATCCAGTGGAACCGAATGTTTGGTGCAAGAACTACAGGAAGACTGGGACCATCTTCGACCAGTCCAAGCTCTAACATTTCACTGACACCTGCTACTGTCACCTGTGCGGTGTCACTGTGTGAGTCTCCCAACCCTGAGTCTCCCAACCCTTAGTCTCCCTGTGATGTCCTGGTCGTGTCCAGTCCTCTGGAAGCACTGCCATTCAGTGCAGTGCCCCGGAAAAGACAAGAGATGACATTTAGGGGACACTTGCCTAGCACAGACACTGTGTCCATGTTTTTTAGAGACTTTCACATTTAAAGTCCTACTTCCCCACATGAATGGATACCACCATTGTCCCCATTTTACAGATGTGGAAGCTAAGGCTCAGAAAGCTTGAGCGCCGGTTCATGGGGGCCACATATTTTTATGCTATTCAAAAGAGGTGCTTCCTCTTGAATGAGGAGCAGGGGACCTTAGACAGTGTTCCCCTATCTCAATGTCTTCCTATGCAGGACAGGTTCCTCCCTCCCTCCTAGAGCCAAGGAGGAGGGAGCGAGCTGTCTTCCCTGGGTTTCTGGAACCCCCATGCCGAGGAGGTGGAGGGAATCATGATGGCCTCGCCAAGTATGAGGTCTCCAGATGCCATGGGATTCTGCGGAGGGGTTTGCTGGAGGTCAATACAGTTGATTTGGGATGCAGGGGGCCCAGGGGGCTCAGGGTGGCGTCAGAGCCCAACCTCCAGGCTCTAGAACCACATGGCATCTTCACCTCCGCTGGAGGCACTCGGCTGCCCAGATCCCTCATGCCCAAGGCTGATACAGGGAGGCTTTTGGGGTTTCGGGGTGGCCTCCCACCGGTTCTACGCACGTGTGGGTGCTTCTGCCCAGAGCTGTCTCTGATTCTCCTCCAGGGTCCTCACTCTGCCCTCCCTGGTCCTACTTCAAGAGAATTCAGAGCTGGCTGTGTCCGGGCTGGGATTTGAGGAGGGAGGGGCCTGAAGCAGGCCTTCCCTCCTCACCTGCACAGCCCTTGCTGGTGGGACCCTGCTTGACCCTACTGGCCCTCAAGTGCAGGTGACAGACACTCCTCCCCCAGCCTTTCTTCCAGAAGTGAGAGAGACAAACTCTGTACGGCATGCAACAAATGCACCGCAGGTTTCGATCACCACTTCATGTGGCTTAACAACTGTGTGGGCAGCAGGAACTATTGGTGAGCTTGGCCACGGGCGAGTGGGCAAGGGCTTGAGGGTCTCATCCTCCACATGGCAGGAACTCAGTTCTACACTCAGTGGTCTCCTCCATGGGGTTCTGAAACCCGTCCTGGGTGGAGTCATTCTTGGACGTGCTCAGTTAGCACCTTTGTACCACCGGGATTTGTGTTGAGACCACAGGAGAACAGGAACTCCCCTGACCCCAGCCTGGAAATCCCTGTTAGGGGTCCTCTCTGCAGGGGGCACAGAAAGGACATGAGCTGTGGGGCTGCTGAGCTCACTGTACTAGGGTTTCTGCTTCAGTCCAACGAGGCTGTGAGCCCCTAGAACAGCAGTTAAATAGTTAAATGGTTAACCAGTTAAAGAAGGCAGTTATAGAACACAGACCATGCAGAGAAAGTGACAAAGGGACAGAGGAACCTGGCCAGCCATAGGCTATTGTCCCAGGCTGGGTGAGGATGAGAAATTCAGCCCACAGGTGGGCGGCAGTTCCTCTCTGAGGAGGGGCCGGTCTGTTGGTCTAAGGGACCCTGATGCTCTGGGCTCAGTTTATAAACCCCCTCTGAGCATCAAAGAGCTGTAGAGCTCCCTGACAGTCAGTCACGTTCTCTGTTCACTTACCCCATACTACCCAGAAAAGACCATAGCTAAGGGTCAGAACTAGGCCTCTAGGGTGCTGTGTCAGTGGAGGGCGCCCCTGAGGACCATGTATCATGGCATGTTCCATGGAGACTTGATTCCATTTTCTCCCTGGCATTCTGCGGCAGACGTGAGCTCAGATTCCCTGTGAGCAGACAGGACACTGAGGCCATATGAGAACACAGATGCCTGCTTCCTGTGACAAGGTGGGTGTCCTTGTTGAGCAGTAGGAAAGCCAAGGCTCTGACAAATGAAGCAGTACCATCAGAGTTATGTGGGGAAGGGACCTCACAATGCTTCCCCAGCCCCCTTGCTCCATGGGGAGGAGCCCCAGGGCAGTCGGTCAGGGCAGTGGGCAGCTCCCCATGCTGCTATTCCGGCCACTCCTGCATGTACCTTGATGACCTCTGTCTGGCACTGCTTGTCACCACATGGCTCAGGCTCTCAGCCCCCAGACATCCTTTGGGGAGTCTCTGTCTATGAACAAGGTGGAAGTGTATAGTCCTGTCATGAGGGTAGTGGATAGGCCCAGAACCTCGGCAGTGCAAGGGTGGCAGGGCCCCAGCTGGAAGCACAGGCCACAGCCCCCAGGAGTCACAGGAGTGAAAGTGGGCATGCTCCTCACAACTGGGGGAGCCCTGGTTTCTACAATATGGGAGGCAGGGGTTGCGGTGAGCTGTGGGCTGAAGACTCGTTCTGAATCCTCACACTGGCAGCTTTCAGTGCAGTGAGTTTGGCTTGTCTCACAGCTCTTGTCTCTGGTTTTCTTGCTCAGGTCGCTCTTCACATCTGTGGGGTCAGCCTTGGCATGGCTCCTCTGCCTGACGGCCATCTTAATGTACCTCATGGTACAATACTGGGTGGACAAGGAGGTACTCTGCTCGCATTCCCATTTTGAAAGTATGTTGTGGCCCTGTTCTTGTATTACTTCAGCTTGGGGTGACTCGTGGTTTAAAGTTGGCCTCTTAGCCCTACCCTCAAACCACCATTCCAGACAAAACCTTTTTAGTGTGGAGCCAGACAGCCAGGCTGGCCCCATGCAGGCAATTTAGCCAGGCATGGCCTGAGCAGAAAGATGTCCTAGGGCTCCTCATCCATTCTCCCTGGCAGGCTCCAACCCTGAGCTGAGGGCAGCAGTCAGTGTTCAGACTTCATCCCAAAGCTCATCAAACGTCCATGAGCTGGATGGAGGCCATGCTGGTCATTGTATGTCAGTAATAGGAAGTGGGACCACTCTCCCTTTCCACTGCCCTCCACTCACTACCCACTCCCCTCCTACATTCTCTCCACCTCCCTTACCCTGTGCACCATTGTACATTTGTCTCCAGCCCCACTCACTATCTGTCCACTTCTTGTCCACCTCTATCCACTGGTCATAAACCCCCATTCTCCCCTGTGCATCCTCATCCACACCCACATACAATCCCT